CTTCCTGATGATTTCTAGCCCTCTTGCAGCTCACATTGCCCAGCCTGTCACAGGGTCAGACATTCAGCAACATAATTAAATGAGAAATCGGAGTCCTGCGACTCTAGAAGCCACCGGCTTGGAGAGGGAAAACCCAAACAAACCATAAAACCAAACAAAAGAAAGTGCCAGCTATTCCCAGGTTCCTGATAACATCATCAGAGGTGGCAACACTGGCCTCCATGAAAAGCCTTGCTGAACTTTAGGGTCAGCCTCAGACAACGGCAGCTCTTTCCTTTGTGCCGGGGGTTGCCGCATGCCTGGGGGGTGACGTGTGGCTCACCAGGACGGCCCGGGTGATGCTATCTGTGCCGCTGTCCCCAGATACCAGCAGGCCCTGCACTAGCCTTGTCTGTATTTAAAAACCCCAGCGTGGGGAGGATGGAGGCAGTGACCCATTCACATTTGGGTGCTGCTGTGCAAAGCTTTGCCTGGAGCAGCTTCCTTGGCCCCCTGCCACTCTGTTCACAACAGCAGTTGCTCAGTTGTGAACCGCTTCTTTTATATTTGCCCAGCTTTGCCCAGCCACAGCAGCAGGAGTGCGACGTGATTTTCTGCTGCCCACGGCGCTGCCTCCTGATCCCCTTGGACATCTGCCTGGGGCAGCGAGATGCGCTGGGAGGTTTCGCTGCCTCCGACGGCGCCGGCTCACGGGCGGCACAAGCGGCCAGGGCTGCGTTTGCACAGGCAGCGGTGGCACCGTGCTGGGACGTGGCTGCATCTCCTCTGCCATGGGGCAGGTGTCAAGTGACCTAGCATTTCAGCCCATTCTTTGACCTTTGTCTCACAGGAATATATGTCTTTTTCTGTCTTTTCCCTGTACTGCACAGAAATAGGATGTTTCTCCCCATCGCTGCTGGGTGAAGCTGTGAGGGCTCTCGAGGCAGGCGGGAGGAAGCGTTTGGAGGGAAGCTGCAAACACCCCCACATGCATCGCACTTGCTGCAGGACTGATGCATCCCAACCAAAGCAAACTCCTCTGGCAAAAAGAACCCCCAACAGCCCACGAATAAACATCCCTGTGAGGAGAGAGACAGGGTCAGGTCTCCTGCCAAGGATTTACATTAACTGCAGTGGGCTGCAAGCTCCCTTGAGGACAGAGGCACCAGAGGCTCTGCGGTCTGTCTGGGCCTTTGAGGTGACACGGATTTTTCCTGTCTGCTCCTTCTTACCCCCAGGAGCTAAGGAACTGGTTGTCCATTTTTAGCCAAACCTGACAGAGATGTTTTTCCTCACACAAGCACAGGAAAATTGAGGCTTCTGGAAAGAAAGATCTTGCAAGCGCCTCTGCGAAGAGCTGCCTCAATGGTATTAGACAGCAGAGAATCCACAGAAGGGAGCCTGCTCTCAAATACCCTCTGTTTAAGGAAGAAGCTTTAATGAAACTCTGTCAACTGTGCAAGACTGATTGGTAGGAAACCCACCTCTGGAGAAACATTGAACGACTTGTATTTATTTGACTGTTTGCTCTGAGAGACAAAAGAGCCTCTTTGGACCCCAGTTGTCGCTGCAATGTCTCTGGCTTGTTTAAGGAGGATTTGCATGTGCGAAAGCAGCACCCAGTAGGTTCCTCTGATAACCCTGTCCAAACCCTGTGGTCACATGCAGGTGTCACATGCAGAAGGGAAGGGAGATCACCTAAAGTGAGGCGAGGATCTGAAGGGAGATCACCCTTGGGCCCCAGCGAGGTGGCTGGGGAGCAGGGAGAGGGCTGAGTAACGGCCAAATTAACCCTTGGCACGATGGCATTTTCCAGGCAGAAAGCCAAAGGACTGCTCGGGAAGATGTATATAACACATGTCTGCCGTCCCCAAAGGGTTATTAACTGTTCAATAATGGCCATGAAACTTGGCTTCCTCATCATCCATTTAAACTGCTAAAAAATAAAACGTGAGCTTCAAAGGGGGAGAGGGTTTGCTTCTTAGAAACTGTAGGGCCAAACGTAGTCTGATGGTGAGGAGGAAACCTGTCTGTGAATTGGGGACAGAGTTAAAGTTGCACATGCTGCAATAGCACCGTGGCCTAATTCTGCTTCACAAATTATCCTTGTTGATAAGAATTGCAAAACACCAAGGCCTGGCTGCGATGTTGCCCCTGCTGCTGGGGCTGCAGCCTGGTGGGCCCCTGCCTGGATACCCTGCAACTCCGCGATGCTGAACTCCGTGTAGCTGAGTGCTGCATTTGTAGGAATGTGCGGAGATAAGGGCAGAGGGAGAGACAGGGAGCACCACGTGTGGGGTTTCTGGGAGCCTCGTGGCACAGAGATGTCCATGCAAACACTTATTTTCTCTACCAGTGTACTGCTGATTTCAAGAATTGTAGAAGCTACAAGAACGCTATGAATAGAGACTTATTTTAGTTGTGCCCCTTTTCCCCCACACTATTACACTGGTTTTTCCTCTGTAATGTTTTCTTATTTTGTGTTAGGTGGGTGAAAGGATCTACCAGAAATTAAGCAAATCTAGGACTCCTTGTCAAGCGCTTTAGAGGGAGGACATGAGGCATCAGCTTTGGCCCTTTAGGAAATGACCTGGATGCTGCTTCATTCCAGGCCAGGACTGAAGCTTTGTTTCAGACGTGTCAGGAAAAGACAGTACTGACACACGGAGCGGTGGTCTCAGACTGAGTTTTCCTCCCATTTGAATAGGTTCTTAGCCAGTCCTTTTTCTGACAACTTATTTCTCATTAGAGAGCAGACTAAGCTTTAAAAGAGAGGGAATCCAAGCAACTAAATCCCAGCTGATCTCTTGTCAAGAAAATGATTTTAAACCACTGGTCCTGGGTTTGCTCAGATTTTGCAACAGTAGAAATGGCTGGAGGCAGCTTGAAGATCTGCGTCTCAAACAGCCTCTATGCATCACCCACCATACCAGGGCCTCGGTGATGGTACAGCTGACGCCGTGCGACGTTGGTTGCAAACGTCTGTAAGGGGGTGGACAAGGCCCACAAGTGAAGGTGAGGGTAATTTGTCTGAATTTAGGAAAGAGATAGATTTGGGTGAAGGAAGAGAGAAACTAATCTTGTGTGATGGCTTCTGCTTTATTCCCTCTTTTACTTTGTCTTGCTGAAGTCTGATTCTGTCTGGTGAGTGAAGGGGACCATCTACACGGATACGACCGCATTTGGTGAAGTTTTCTGAGGGGAAATCTTGGCTCATGATACTGTCAAAATCATCTTGAATTGCTCTCCTTCATTCTCTCCTCCATTTTTTTTTGCTAATATGGTATATGGAAAACCTTTTTTTTCCAGTCTTATTCCACTACTTATTCCAGTCTTTTCCTAGTTTCAAACACCCCGAGTCTTAGCACTCCCCCAGTTTGTCGGGATCTAGCAGGGAAGAGCACCCAAATGTGATTCCCCCATCTCACAGCCTTTACCGCTGTCAGAACGACTTCGGACAGCTTTTGTGCAAGTGCTGCGCTGAGATCTGCCAGAGTCATTCACACTCTTTTATGGGTCTTCCTTTGAATTCATCTAAGATTTCAGCAACGAAGTTGCAGATTTTTGCAGAAGTTTAAACTTCAGGACACTTCTCTGGTCCTCAGCAGCAGTTAAAGCTGCTAACACATTGGATCTTTACTGCTTTCTAAGTCTCAGCCATGGCAGGAGCACAGGACCTGACCAAAGCCCATCAAATACTTGTAGAAATCTTTCTACTGCTCGAAATTGCCCTGGACAGCTGAGGACACACAGGATCCCTCTGATCTTCTGGTGATTTGAGACAAAAGGAGGTGATTCTTATAGTAATGAAGAAGAGGATATGCAGCAAGCATGACAGAGGAACCCTCTCTCAGCTGAGGTCAATGTGATCTTTAATACTTAACCAGATGCCTGAATATTTCAGATGGTTCCATAGGCAACAAACCAGTTGCAGCTCCTGGAGAACTGGCTATAAGAAAGGCAGGAAGCCAAGTGGCACGAGGGAGCAAGTGACATGTGGCTGTGGTGGCAGTTTGGTCAGCCATGTGCTGACAGAGGTGACCTTCCAGCTTTCAGCAGCCACAGGTGGGTTTTGTCAGAGTTCCTGGGACTGGGGACGCATGGAACGGTAGTAACAGCAGCACTATTTTAGTGGTACTTTCAGATCAGTGTGAGTGGGCATTGAAAGTGCTCGAATAAAGGGGGGAAAAAGGCCTTTTTGTGGGGGGTTTTATTGCTCAAGGAGGTGTGAGGGAGGCACGCGGCCACCCCCGGAGCCG